ATATATATATATATCCGGCTGTTTTTGAAAAGGATCTGTTTATTCTATATGAAATGGGTAAATCGGCTAGAGTGCGAATGTTTTTTTTTTTTTATACGTGTTTTGAGGTAGATAAGCAGCTGGGCATTTTACGTTTCAGATTACATACCGAAGAGTTCCGTTTGTGCCACCGAGTCGTTAAACAATAGTCAATAACAATATTGACCGAGGCAAGCATTTCTTTGTAACGAATCATCGACGGAACTTGTATAAACATGGGAGTATCAAGTCTAACTCCAGACAACAGTGGTGAGTATCATGGTCTCTGGTTTTGGGAATTGTCCTATAAATATACCGTTACCGTGCTATTTTATGGCAACTTGACAACGAGCGTAGATTCTGATGCATTGGTGGGCAAGTAAATCTGTGGTGGGCAACATATTTTGTATACCATGGAAACATTATTAGGCATGTTATCTTTAATGAGAGGGTCACAGTCAGGTATATTGTCAGAACCTTGTATGTTCTATAGAGAAAGATATGTAAACTGTTAAATTAATAAGAATTATGTAGTATAAAATGTTTTCACCAAAACCTAAACGGTATATTGATCAGAGTTTTTTTTCTGCTTAACTATAGTCTTTGGGTCATACTTAATTAGGTCTGGTAGTGAACAATCTAATTTTGTCTGCTTTCATCAGGCCCCACACTTGACTTCTCAGCTCAGGGCCTTCAAAAGCTGGAGCCAAATTTTCCATGTCAGGAGGACACCCACACACTTATCCTGGACCACAATCATATCATAAAGCTGGAGCACCTGGACAAGAGTCACAGGCTTCAGCAGGTACTGGTCTGAGGATGCTGATCTGGCTGTGGGGGTTACAGGCCCATTTTTGTTAAACTGGGCTAGAGGGACATTTCTTGTGGTAGTGCTGATTGTGTTCCTGCTTTTCACTGTCAACCGCTTTCCACTGTTATGTGGCAGCTCTCTGTGGCCAATAACCGGCTTGTCCGGGTGATGGGTGTGTCCCGCCTGACTGAACTCAGGGTGCTAAACCTGCCCAACAACAGCATTGGTTATATTGAGGGACTGAAGGATTTGGTGCATCTGGAATGGCTCAACCTGGCTGGGAACAATATCAAGGTAATGGTACTATACCATATGATTAAGGCTACATTCAAAGCAAATTTTTTGCCTTAACATGACACATATTTGATATTTTCAGAGCTATTTGTACACAGAAATCTGATCTTTTCAAACCATATTTGAGTCACTTGCAATATGTGGTCCTAGATCGGATATGTACACAGGCACTGAGCTCTGTCGTCATCAGTCAGCACCAACAGAGAGCTACAACTGTGACAAAATGTATCAGTGTGTACATGTGTGCCATTTTGGAGAACAGATGCGTTCACATTACAGTTAGATACAGGTCACATGTAATTGCGAATGTAAACTGTTAAGCAGTGGTGGAATATAACAAAGTATTTGTACTTCGTTACTGTACTTAAGTACATTTTTACGTATCTGTACTTTACTTAAGTAAAAATAATAATACATACTTTTAATTTTACTCCATTACATTTTGCGGCAACTATCTGTACTTTCTACTCCACTACATTTCTACAATTTATGCCGTTAGTCGTTACATTTTATGAACACAATTTCCTCAAAATCTTGCATGAAAAAA